TGGCTCCTCATCATTAGTGACCCATTTAGAGACATCCTCTGTATTGCAACATGGTTAATACGAGCCTTGAATAAGATAAGTAACTTAACTAGACCACCTAGATGGTCGTAGGGACTTTATTCCGATTGTCTCGTCGCTAAACCATGAGCTTGACAACAACATCTCCAGGAATATCAATCTTGAGCTTATAATTTGCCGCAAGTTGAAATATGTCTCTCAATTTCTCACCATCTTCCTCCTAAAGAAAAAGCAATATATTCAATCAGCACACACTCACATAACACATGAATGACAAGATGAGAGGATTGAACCGGTGATTCGGTTTTCTCCATAAACCGTACTCTTAATACTGACGATCTCTTTGTATAAGACAAGTGAAGGATCGAAGCCTTGAAGCTTAAAGAAACATATAAGCCGAACTGCGGGAATATATTGTCTTGTACTTGTACTGATAAGTTTTTGAACAAACTCTGCATATATACAAATCAAAAGAATTAATGTAGAGAAGAAATGTGTGTTTAATGTGATCACGAATACAAAACTAAAATTACCTGGGATCATATTGTCAAGACCAAGTGATTGAAAGAGTGTTGGAGCTTCTTTGTGATGAGCAACAGAGAAGGCAAGCTTCGTAGTTTCTTCTTGATTGATGATTGTGGAGTTGTTATGCGATCCATGTGCCACAATGAAATGGAGAAAAGCCAACACTTGGAGAGACGATGGTGATGATCTTGGAGTTTCATCAATTCTTATTGGACCGTAGCTAAACCGAGATCTTTAGCTGCTTTGTCCAAGTGCTTTTGGAATTCGGCATGCTTTCTATCGCAATCATGGGCAAGTTTACGAGTTGCTTCGTCCACTACTTCAGCCCTTCTCCTATGCTTATTGATGTCAACATGAGCTTCTTCCAACACTCGCTTCAGAATTTCTTTGGCCTTTCTCAGATGCTCAGTGACGTTATCAACCTCAGAAAAACTCCTCTTTTTGGGTGCATTTGATAAATGGGATCTGGCTGCGATATCAAACAAAAAGAACCATGTTTGCTTCCCCAACCAACTTGAAAGCAGACTCTGCACCAGCAAACTTGTTCTTGTCCGGATGGAGAAGCAGCGTGAGCTTTCTGTATTGCTTCTTGATCGTGTCCGCATCCGCAAAAGGCTGAACCTGAAGGATACCATACCAATTCTGCTCGTCAAGCCCATCGGTTTTCTTATTTGCAGAAGAGTGCACATGACATATGGCTATCATCTGGTGTATGTTTTCGAGATTGGGGAAGAGTCTTTGAGCTTTCGTAACAAGTATAAGAGCTCCAACAAAATCACCAGTCTTCATCTTTTCCTCTGCTAGGTTTTTCGCCCTCACAGCCTCTTCTTTGTTGCATTCCATCGAAGCCACTTTATCGAGAACTCTAAATCAAAGGGTAAACAATGCGGGAAAGTAAACTCTTTTAGATCTAAGCATGACGTCTCCAGAAACACATACCAACACAGTATAAACAAAATGAAGGATGGAAATAAAATGGTGAGAAAGGTAAACCTAGAATACAAAAACCCTAACTTGATTCATAAGAACATAAAAACCCTAGCTAGATTGAGTGAAAGTGAGGCAAAATTATGAAAAGGAGGGGGAAACATACCTTGGTCCGTCCTGTAGAACCCTAAAGACTATGTCGCCTTTGAGAGACAGATTCTAAACCTAAATACCAAATCAGTGACCTCTGACTCTGAATTTGGAAAGTTGGCAACGGCACAGCTCTGAGTTTGGAAAGTTGGCTAAGGTCGAGAGAGAGGCTACTTCAGTCACTAAAAATGAAATTCAAAGTTGAACCAAACTATGATTTTAAAAGAAAAAAGCAAAACCTATGCATAAACCATTTTTTGGGTTCATAAATAAACTTTTTAAGTTTTCCTGTTAAATTCTTAACGG